TGTGATTGCTGGGTAAGAAAGCCGTTCCATTTTAATTTTTTGAGGGAACTCCATACTGTTTTCTACAGTAGCTACCCATCTGCATTCCCACCAACAGTGCACTAGGGCCCTTTCTCCATAACCTTGCCAGCACTTGTCATATGTTGATTTGTTGATGATAGTCATTCTGACAGTGTGGATGGTATCTCATTGTTGCTTTGATTTGCATCTCTCAGATGATTAGTGACTGAGCATATTTTCATATGTCTCTCAGCCTTCTGTATGTCCTTTTTCGAAAAGTGTCTATGTCCTTTGCAAATTTTCTGATTGGGTTTTTTATCTTCCTTTTGTTAAGTGGTATGAGTTCTCTGTAAATTTTGGAAATTAAATCCTTATCTGATATAGCATTGACAAATATGATCTCCCATGCAGAGGGCTTTCTTGTTGTTTTATTGATGGTTTGTTTTGCTGTGCAGAAGCTTTTGATTTTGATGCAGTCCCATTTGTTTACTTTCTCCTTAGTCTCCATTGCCTAAGGAGTTGTATCAGTAAAGATATTGCTATGACATATGCCAATATTTTGCTGTCTATGGAGTCTTGTAGGATTTTTGTGGTTTCCCATCTTACATTTACTAGCATGTCATTTAGCCATTTTGACTTTGTTGTTTGTATGGTTTAAGTTGGTGATTTAGTTTCATTTTTTTTTGCATGTATCTGACCAAATTCCCAGCACCATTTATTGAAGATACTATCTTGACCCCATTGCATGCTTTTGCCTTCTTTGTCAAATATTAATTGAGCATAATGGCTTGGGTCAATTTCTGGCTTCTCTGTTCTGTTCCATTGGTCTATATGACTGTTCTGTGCCAGTACCAGGCAGTTTGGAGACCGTGGTTTGGTAATATAGCTTAATATCTGGTATTGTGATCCCTCCAATTTTGGTCTCTCTCAGTATTTCTGTGGCTATTCGGGGTATTTTTTTTTATTCCAGATGAATTATTGGAGAGTTTGTTCTAGATCTTTGAAATATGCCTTTGGTATTTTAATGGGAATTGAATTGAATCTATAGATTGCTTTGGGTTGTATGGACATTTTACTGATGTTGATTCTATGAACATGAACATGGTATGTTCTTCCATTTGTTTATGTCTTCCTTTATCTCTTTTTTTTTTCAGTGTGCTTTAATTTTCTGAGTAGAGATCCTTTACTTCCTTGATTCAATTTATTCCTAGGCATCTTCTTTTTTGTTGTTGTTGTTGTTGCAATGGTAAATGGTATTTATTTTAGTTTCTCTTTCTGTGAGTTTACTATTGGTGTATAAAAAAGCCATAGATTTCTGGGTGTTAATTTTGTACCCTGCTACACTGCTGAATTTATTTATTAATTCTAGTAGTTTTTGATGGAACACAGTGAAAGCACTGCTGAGACGGAAGTTCATAGCATTACGAGTACTTCAAATAAACAAGAAAAACTGGTAATAAATCATCTAAATCTGTAACTTGAAAAATTAGAAAGAAAGCAACAAAAAAAGTTGAGAGTGAGCAGACGGAAGGAAATAACAAAGATTTGAGCAGAAATAAATGACATAGAGCCAAAAAAAATACAAAAGATTGATGAAACCAAAAGCTGGTTCCTTGAAAGGATTAGAAATATTGATAAACCTCTAGCCAGGCTCACAAAGAAACAAAGAGAGAGGACCAATATAAACAAAATTAGAAATGAAAGAGGTAAAATAACAACAGACCCCACAGAAATACAAAGAATTATAAAAAACAAAAATACTGTGATCAACTCTATTCCAACAAACTGGTCAACCTAAAAGAAGTGGACATATTCCTAAAAATCTACAACCTTCCAAAACACAATCAGGAAGAATAAAAAAAAAATCTAAATAGACCAATTATTATGGAGGAAATTGAAGCAGTCATCAAAAAACTTCCAACATTGCCCTAGCCGGTTTGGCTCAGTGGATAGAGCGTTGGCCTGAAGACTCAAGGGTCCCAGGTTCGATTCCGGTCAAGGGTATGGTTGCGGGCACATACCCAGTGGGGAGTGTGCAGGAGGCAGCTGATTGATGTTTCTCTCTCATCAATGTTTCTAACTCTATCCCTCTCCCTCCCTCTGTAAAAAATCAATAAAATATATTAAAAAAACCACACAAACTTCCAACAAATAAAAGCTCTGTACCAGATGGCTTCACAGGGGAGTTTTATCAAATATTCAAAGAAGAACTAAAACTTATCCTCCTCAGACTATTCCAAAAAATTCAAGAGGAAGGCACACTTCCAAGCTCTTTCTACGAAGTCAGCATTACCCTAATCCCAAAACCAGATAAACACAATACAAAGAAAGATACAAGCTTCCTAATTCACTGAACTCATTTGTGGCAAGACTCTGGGGTCCCAGACTTCTATGGGGAGAAATTGAACTGTCTTTCAGTGGGTCGGAATGCTAGGGTGGCTTTCTCGCAGAGCTGCTCACAAGGATCATTGTTGCTGTGGGGGCACGGGACTCGGGGATGCAGAGGGACTGGGGGACGCAGAGACATGGAGTCACAGAGAGGCTGACGAGAGCCATTGTTGTTTGCTCTGCCCTGGTAACTCTCTGAGATCCTGCCCCACTCAATTTACATCCCCGTCCAAGCTGTGCACAGTGGCACGAAGGAACCACCTGCGCTTTTGCAGCATAACCTAACAAACTGCAGCTGAGTCAGAGAGCTCCAAAACTTCCAAAC